CCCGTTGTTTGTCAAACGTTTCCTCGGCATCGCGCGACTGTCTGGAAGTGATCCGATCCGTTTTGCGCGCGCGCGCTTCAGTGAAGAGAAGGGGGAGGAGTCAGAGACACAGCAGCACCCTGTGAGCACTGAGCAGCACACGAACAGGTGAGACAGGGAGACGAGAGAGAGCTCGATAGCGCTTGAGTACAGAGAAAAAACTACACGGTGGAAAGTGGAAAGGTGAGAAAATGGATAGGAAACGCAGTGAAATTTGGACCGATTTCAACTTAATTGATAGTTCAAAGGCAGCGTGTAGACTGTGCAAGGTTAAAATGTCCAATATCAAATATTAATTTATAATTTGTTGTTTGGTAATCAAAGCTTACTTATGTTGTTTTAATGTAAATATTTAAACACTTATAAATACGCACAATCAGAGATTGGAACTTTTTGTTGACCTTTTTTTGAGATGCGTCTTTGTTTTTGTACTTTGTAATTTATTTTTTTGTAGCACTCCATGTTGTACGCCATGTTGAGTATGTTCAGAAGAATATAAATAAAGCCATATAAATAATAAATATTTGATATACTGGATATTTTTTACATTCGTAATTAATTTTACACATAATTTTACATTATTTTTGGTATTAAACTAATTTAAGCAAAAAAAAAACTGAGGAGCCATTTGGGAGCCGAAAGAGCCGGCTCTTTTTAGGGAGCCGAGCCAAAAGAACCGGCTCTCTAAAAAGAGCCGGAATTCCCATCACTAGAAGGAATCAAATAAATTCCATCCAGGGAAACGCATATTGAGGGATTAAGCTGGCGCTTTCAAAGGGGCGGGTCTGCCACTGACGGGCGACAGTTAGCCCAACGAATAAAGAGCGGAATCACAGTTAGTTTCAATCACGGTTTCTTCCGTTCGAATGGATAGGAAACGCAGTGAAATTTGGACCGATTTCAACTTAATTGATAGTTCAAAGGCAGCGTGTAGACTGTGCAAGGTTAAAATGTCCAATATCAAATATTAATTTATCATTTGTTGTTTGGTAATCAAAGCTTACTTATGTTGTTTTAATGTAAATATTTAAACACTTATAAATATGCACAATCAGAGATTGGAACTTTTTGTTGACCTTTTTTTGAGATGGGTCTTTGTTTTTGTACTTTGTAATTTATTTTTTTGTAGCACTCCATGTTGTAAGCCATGTTGAGTATGTTCAGAAGAATATAAATAAAGCCATATAAATAATAAATATTTAATATACTGTATATTTTTTACATTCGTAATTCATTTTACACATAATTTTACATTATTTTTGGTATTAAACTAATTTAAGCAACAAAAAAACTGAGGAGCCATTTGGGAGCCGAAAGAGCCGGCTCTTTTTAGTGAGCCGAGCCAAAAGAACCGGCTCTCTAAAAAGAGCCGGAATTCCCATCACTAGAATACTCGCACCAATGAGAGCAGCTACAAAAGCACTATTTAAAAACGTTTTTAAAATAACAATGCTTTGATTGAGACTGCAAAGATAGTATTAATCAAACAACATGTTTCTATGGTTGTGGATGTAATGGTGCTGGACCACAAAGGCAATTGCAAGCATTGTGATGTAATTGTATCGCGTTCATATGAATTTTGTTAATTGCATTGACAACCAATGCACCACAAATGTAGTAAGTCATATGGAATGTTGTGTGTTGTTATTGACTAAAATGTGGTTCATTTTTAAAAAGCCTAGTTGTTGTTGTTTCTGCTGTTGTACCGACTTTACCAACACGTTGTAGTTTTCTGACGCATATATAACATTTAGTTTTTTTAACTTCTACCATAAGATGGGTACTACTAATATGAATATTCCAGACATTGCTGAACAGAGATCAGCTGACGTGGGTGTGTCGCTGACAATCGCCACAGAGGCATCATATAGCACAATCTCTCTTTTCGGCTTCGTCATGTCGTCCTGTGACAGCGACACAAACACCGGAAATACAATATTTTTCTTCAACATAAAGTATACTGTTGTAACGACCAATATAGAAAAGAGAAGAGAAGATCATCAAGAAAATATCATCACATTTGAATGCTAATGACATAATGTTTGTGTAACGATATCAACGTAATTTTAACCTATCCCAATATGTCTTAGGTTTTATTTTTTTGCAACGCAGTCGAATGTTTATTTTGAAAGAAAAGAAACGGAACTTAGATTCCTGTGGAATTCGTCCTCGTCCCCCCCCGTCACTGCTGCGTTCCGCTTAGCGACATCGACTGAGCCGAGTTTAACGTGTCTATATGCCAAATGATGCTCACAGGGTGGTTTTAGCTCAACACCACCCGCTATGTCGCGCTGGTTGTCGGTGCATTGCTTTTAAATCTTTGTCCGTCTTAAAGAAAGTGAACCAGGAAGCTTCAGAAAAGAGCCGAGAGGAGAGCAGACAGACCGGAGGCCACGGTTTCCCCCACATCTCGCTAACACACACATACGCGCACACATCACTCCGGCCTTGATGGTGATGTATGCAAGGAAACCAGCAAGAGTCAGTGATGGGTAAATGAAGCAATATCTTCAAACTTGGGATACATCCGACTTTAATATACGCGGTTAATCGCTCGCTATGTTGTGTTGCCTGGTAGCGGTTAGCCTCTAGTGATACATGCTAACAATTTGCACTCGGTTCAGAGTTGCGGTTGCTTCCTGAAGCTTTACCGCTAGCTCACCATCGAGAGAGTAAAACAGTCTAAATTGCGAAGCTTTCGTTAACACACTGAGTAATAAAATAATACCGCGTGTTCAGATGTAGGTAAAGGACCACTAAACAACCGATGCTATCCCGAGTTAAGCTATTGTGGCTATCGCACATTAGCACATTTTCATGATTTATTTCTTGATACGTATTGACTGTCAAAGGAGACAGCGGTGATTTAAGAACGTTATTTTTTGTTGTCTACACAGGTGCACCGACAGAAGGGATTCCCAGTCCTATCAGGTATGATTAAAAGAGAAAACCAATCAAACGGGCCTCCATCAATATGACGGCGAGCGAAGACAATTTACTAATACACGTTTGACTTAAATTGCTCGTTTTGGTGCTGTTGGTACATTTTACCACAGAAGCTTGTCAATATCAACATAACATTTGATTAGGTCTCCTCAAATTTGGGATCAACTTACACAGTAATAATGTTTTTGCAAAGGTGCCCGTTTACTATACTTTTTCCCTGCAATACCTAATAAACATCATAATCCAACAAACATGTTTTCCCTATGGTTCTATTTTCCAGACCCATAAATCTCAGCCAAAGAGCCAGACCAGCAGCCTTCACCGTTACGACAAGGTGCGTGATGGCCCATCAGAGTCCACGCCCCCTTATAAGATGCTGCGGCGGTCAGATGAAAGTCCTGTCAGCAAACAGGGAGATGGCACAGGGCACGGCAAGGCCAAAATCGCCCACACTGTTCGAGCGAAAAACGGTAAGCCAGTATCTGGGAGTCATGCCCTGGCTCTGTGTTTTTCGAAAATATTTGTTTACATATGAGGAATGCAACCTTACCACTTATTTTTTAGAGAGAGTACAAGTACACATACTTGAGCACTCATTGAGAGGCAGAGCTCGACACTAACCTTTGCGTCGGTAGCAATGTTTTCAATCGGTTGCACATTTTTTTCCCCTCTTTTTTTAATTCCTCTATATTGAGGGCTAACATTTTGTGTGTGGGTCGTTTCTTGCATTTGCTTTTACATTCTGATTGGGTTTGTTGCAGGCACCAGCGAATCTCCTCATGAGAACTCTCAAAACAACAGTTCCCACCTTGGTGCCGACTCGCATTCCGTTCAGAGCAAGCCCGCAGAGCGAGTAAGATGATGTCCAAACGTTCTCTTCAACTTAGTATACGCATACACCAAGGGGTAGGCGTAGCTCTAATTGGGGAAACGCTGTCTTCCAGAACACATAACATCAGTATTTAGTCTTCTCCTATTTGGCTGTCATAATAATGATGAAATATAAATGCTCTTGTGTTATGACCAGGACCCAGCCGATGACTGGACAGAACACATCAGCTCCTCTGGGAAAAAGTACTACTACAACTGTCGAACTGAAGTCTCTCAGTGGGAGAAGCCCAAAGACCTGTTGGAGAGGCGAGCCACCGTCGATGAAATGCAACCATTGATCTCAACGTCTTAAACCGAGAGTTTTATCCCCTGCAGTTAGCACGTGCCAAACAAGAGCCGTCGGTGCCCCACCCGAACCCGCCGGGTGTTTGCGCCTCGTGTCACAGCGGCTTTGTTTCTTACATGTAGCAACTGCTGTTTTGCATCTCTACCCCAGAGAGCAACGGCAGAAAGACCCGGCCAAGATGGCGGCCAACAGTTTCCCCAGGGACATGGACTACAGACAAGAGGCCTTGCAGGACAAAGCTGCGAGTAAGACCGAAGCCCATTTCAAATTGCCGCTTGACTCGAATGAAATGCCTCAGCCGTATCAATGGATGCTGTCTTTGCACCGAATGAGATACGTTAACGCCCTCCACCGCTCATCACCAGACAGACAACTACGTTGAAGCCATGTTGACGTCGGCATCATGCTTTGGGCTCTTGTTCTTGAGCTGGAACTGGGTTCTTAGTCAAGGTGGAGGGAATTATTTCCAGTTCCAAATGCTCATCGGTGTTAGCACAAAAGCGTCAGGCTTTACTTTGTGTCTATCGGAGGCACTTTGTGTGCTGACTCCCATTTAACATAAATTTTGACGTGACAGGTTATTCCCGATCTTTAAAAGTAAGCCCATATGTTGTTGTCTTTGCAGAGAACACTTCCGGGGACCAGTCAAATGCGTCCATTTCCGTTCCCGCATCCTCTTCCTCTCAGACCCTAAACTCATCTTCCACCACATCGACCACATCCTCGTCGTCCTCTTCCTCCTCCACCGGGCCGTTAAGTCAAAGTGCCCAGTCCTCATCGCCAGCGCTGCTTCAGGACCCGGCCCTCCTGCGCCAGCTTCTGCCCGCACTTCAAGCTACGCTGCAAATGAACAACGGCGGGATGGACATGGCCAAGCTCAATGAGGGTGAGAATGACAAATGGATTGGGCCTAACCTTTCGCATTTTCATTAGCCGCTGTCATCTTTCCGCTCTTAGGATCTTATCAAATCCAAATTATGCATCTTGTTCGTCCATCAAGCGTCAAAAAAATGCTGTCGGCGTTGTGCCGTTACTCACACTCTGAGTCTTGACCATAAATTGATTGTACTGATGAGTTCCAAGTTCACCGCTCAGGATGAATTCATCAGAACCAAGTCGTTGAATGCGTCCTCACTGACATGCGCCGCTTGCACTCACGACATGGCTGCGAACACACAGGTGCTTGTTCACAGAACAATCCGTGTTGACGTGCTCGCGACTTTTCCGACCGTTCTAACAACCATTTTTTCAAACCAGGCACTCGTGAGTTTCAATCTCGCAGCAAATCGCACGACATGAGAGGATTCATTATCCACACTGTATTCTGCATGACAACAAATGAGTCCCTCGTGCTGAACATTTCCAAGTGCACATACGTGTAGACTTTGCAAAGCATGTTGGAAACGTATGACCGCAGTATGTGCTTCCAAGCCACAACTATTTTGCTGAGCTCCGCCGAAAGTGAGGGAGGTGGAAGATGGAGATTTCCATTCGGCCGACCTTCTTGCGATGGTTGAATAAAATTCATGAAGCACTACAACATGGACGATTAAATACTTGTTTTACACAAAACGAATTGGCCATTTAATGACTTACGGAGACTTTTCATAACACCCGTATGTGTTCAATTCTAATTCATTGAGAAAATATTTATTTAATGTGATACTTATGGATGTTGAAACTTTTATATGTCGGCTCCCCCCGCACCCCCCCCTTTTTTTTTTCTCAGATAATCAGATATACATATTTGCTTGTAAATTTTTTTTTTACGGTAACTATATCGGGTGACATTTCTTACATCCGTCCTTTTCAAACTTGGCTGTAAATTTTTTTTTTTTTTTTCCTTCACTCACCTGTATGTACGTGTGTTTGCGTTGCCTTCTTCCTCCCCCCAGTCTTGGCAGCCGCCGTCACCCAAGCTTCCTTGCGGTCTGTGCTTCATAAGCTGCTCGCGGCCGGACCCGCTTTCAACATCACCGCTTTGCTCTCAGCCGCTCAGCACGCCAACCAAGGTACGACCTCCACGCTGTTCCTCACCATCTGCCCATGCCAGCTAAAAACTTATTTCAGAGGTCCCGCTGTCCTTTTTCATGCCTTTAGCGTTCTCAAAACCCCACCGTGTCGCCATTGACTTTCAAGCGTGTTTTTGCATTTATTGAAAGTGAATCGCTGTCCTTCTCTGACATCTTCAGCGCAACACTCCAGTCAGTCACCCGCATCCCTGACGTCAGACGCCTCGTCGCCACGACCTTACGTGTCACCGCGGAACGGCACGCCGCAGAGCAACCAGAAAAACCTTCTGAGTGTTCACCAGAGCGGCATTGCGTCTTTACAGACGAGGGTGAGAAACCCGACCGATGCTTCCAAACTGTGACGTTTTTCAAAGAAAATATTGAATTGACGTATTTGTGACAACCCTCCTCTATTTTCCATATCTCCCGTGCGGGTGTCACATGTCCTCTCACCCGCAGTCATTTTTGTCTCTGCAGAGCAACGCATCTTTAGCTAAACAAGGCGGCGTCCCTCCGGGTCAGACCACAGAAAAGCATCCCGAAGACCCCAGGACTCTCCAGCAACGGAGGTACAAGTGAATTGCGTTGAATAATCCATCCCATTGTTCTGCTTCCTTTGCCAAACATTGTGGAAGTTGATCTTTTTGCACGTTGTCACTTCACCCGCAGCCAGGAGATTCTCTCCTCTGGGTCAAACGCAGCCGGTGCAACTTTGTCCCAGCCCACTTCCGGCGCAACTAGTCAAAGTCAATCGGAGGCTCCCATGTCCTTCACCCCGTCCCTGGCAGCTCATTTTGATGAGAATCTCATCAAACATATTCAAGGATGGCCTTCCGAGAACACTGAAAAACAGGTAGAGAGACAGCATTGTCATACTGCGTCGGCATCCTCCTTTGGTACGGAAATGTGCGGCATTTTTACTCTACTCCAAGTACGTTGCAAGAATTAAAGTTAATGAACTGTACTCCGGCTGTCGTACTGAAATGTCGACGCAGCGTTTTGTTTCGTCAGCGTGAGAGATGAAGCGATTGCCACGCCGTTCTCTCCCCTCTCAATAAACACGGTCTGTGTGGCAGGCGGCCCGGCTGCGGGAGGACATCCACAACATGGGCAGCCTGTACATGTCGGAGCTGTGCACCGAGATGAAAAACCTTCGCTCCCTGGTCAGAGTCAGCGAAATTCAGGCCACGCTGAGGGAACAAAGGTGAGGCCGAGGTCGATGTTAAGGGATTAACACCCACGCTCCTCTATTCTTAGACTGACTGTCCTGTTGCACCTTAACTGCAGAATCCTGTTTCTGAGGCAGCAGAGCAAAGAGCTGGACAAGCTGAAGAACCAGAACTCTTACATGGTCTGATGGACTCGACGGGGTCGGATGGCTCACAATGTCGAGAAAACGGCCCGCCAGACGAGTGCGGCCGCTCTTCCCTGCTTAGTGCCCTCACAAGAGCGAGGCTCTTAGACGGCCGCGGCTTTCCATGGGGCGACAGTCATCATCCTGAACCTGTCTGCCATCCCCCCCACCCCACCCCTTATCCCATCTCCATGCGAGTCGCTCTGATTGAAAAGGTGAAACGATGGCTCACCGAGCCGGACACCGAGGACCTCAGGCTCTTTTCAAACGGCACCTTCTTGGCTCGTGTTTGGCGTATGGACTTTGTTTTCAGGTGCGTTTACGAGTGTCTCATGGATCCATGGTCTTGTCAGTCACATCTGCCTTCCAAGCCTCTCACGCGGATTTTGGTTGAATACGTCCAATGAGTCATGCGTCTGAAAATGTATGGCTTCATTGGCAGTGATGTTACTCTTGTTTTCTTTTGGGTTGTTTTTTTTTTTTTTTTTTCTCTTCAGAGTAGTCACCATTCCATTTAACTTGCAGCTGATTCTCATTTCGTGACATGAGATGAACCCGACATTTCTAAAGTTCAAGTGTTGGTATTTCAATTCATGCGGTTCCACTGCAATGGCAAAAATCAAGTTAGGAAGTTGTCTCCAGATTCCTGATGTTTAAAAGCCATTTGGTGGGGGGGGCATACATTATTTGGACCTAGTACAGCTGCTAGTATAATGAGGTCAATTTAATGTGATTGCTTGATCAGTTATGCTTTAGATTTGCTTTTTTAAAAACTTTTTTGTTTCCCCGAACACGCAAACTGGGGACAAATGTTTCATTCCTTTTGTGCTGTCTAGCAAGTGAGTGTAAAATAGCAAAGTGACTGAATTAACAGTCATGTAAATTATTGGTGATTAAGTTTGTGCTTGTTGTCATACTGCAGAACCTTGTTGGAAATACGTTTTTTTTTTAAATTGAATTTTGCGTTTTTGATTGATTTTTCACTTTGTTATACTGCAGTGGCCGTTGAGTTCAACAATTTGACTTGCAAGGCTTTTTTTTTGTGACTTTTTTTTTTTAACAAAATGTTTTTGCTTTAAATATATTCGGTCACTGAACAACTCGGAGCTCACGAACTGCATTTGTACACACCCAGAAAGCAATTTATTTTGTTTTTCAGCCGTTGTCCCTCCCCCTTTTGTTCCGTAGATTTCACCAGATTATGTGGTGCACACTTTTTCTCGATGGGGCGGGTGGGTCGGGCTGACTGTAGGAGTCGGCGCGTGTGGGGGGTGCCAGGACTTTGTATTCCGTACAATATGAGATTAAAATATAATACCACACTTAGAGTCGCACAGTTCTGCTGTTCAAGATGGTCATTTAGGTCATGCCTGCGTGTGTGTTTTAAGAGGACTGAGAGGAATTTGGTCGTTTCAGTTCAAACAGCGTGTTTGGGATGCTCGGCTGCCAGTCTTCGGATGACAATTTCAGCGAAGCACTCAGAGAAAATTCTTTGCGGAGTTTTCTGGTCCGTGTAGAATGACAAATTATCCTTTGTCCACAAGGTGGTGCCAATGAGCAGGTTAGCGTGCTGCCATGAATGGTGAAGGCTGCTTCCGAAAACAGTAAATTGTTAAAAGCACAGACCACTACGACTTGAATGATTTAAATTTGCACAATTAGCGACCTCCTACGTGTTTGTTTATATTGATTGTTTTGCCACCTGATAGAGAATTCATGAAAAATCCAATTTTCAAAACGTTGGTCACAAAGTGTAATCATAACCGCAAAACTTGCTAAGTCATGATTGAAGACTAAAACACCAATTACCAATACAATATAATTACGACATGCCTTTTTAACCACTGATGCATTGTGCATCTATTAGCGCTGCTGCATCTTCCTATCAGTCCAATTTTATCTGTATTGATCCACACTGCTAGTCACTTTTTTCACTTTACCACCTTACACTGCGAATATACAAAACTGCGCCTACGACAAAGTAGACTTTTTTTTTCTCCCCCCTTGACACATTTTCCATACTTGTTAGATGTGTGTTGAAAATTCCCCCTTAATATAATGGTCTCTTCTGCAAAGCCGAGTCCATTCCTCTGCTGAATCATCAGTATGTCGAGATCACCTCTGTTTGGTTCATCTTCACCTAGGAGAGATTTGTGATGCACTCTCCTTCCCCACCATTTTGGTCTCTTGTCTGCAGCTTCATCACTCACATAATAGAAAAAAAAACTGTTAAAAATCCACTGGGGTCCATTATGTGGTTTATGGTTCAGCCTGGACCCGTTCACTTTACGATTAGTCTGACAAAAGATATTGACAACTGCGTGGGAAAATTGCTTACAAGATACCTTGAAAAAGACAAAAGAGCTTTGTTCAAATGATTTGTTTTGGCTCCTTCGTCAATAGGGCTTTTGTTTAAGAAGCGACAACAAAGGAACCTGTGTCAATGCAAGATTAAATTGTACCAAACATAATTCAATAACACTCATAACACTACTGTATAAGGGATTCAGTTTTCCCCCAAAATTGATTCAGACGTCAGCCTGCAGGCAGGGGAGGGAGAGTCACTCCTTGAGTCGTCAATTTGAGCATCACCCCAATTTGATGTCACGATCGCGATTGAAAAAACATTTGTAACGTCCGTGCAGGCGGACGATTTCTTCACTTGCTTGTTGAATCTCATGAGTTCTGCCTCCAGTACTCTTCTCTGTGGGTCTGCCCTCAACCCAGTCCGGCCACTCCGACAGCACCGCTGCGTCTCATTTGGAGTGACGCTGACGTGCTGGATTGATAACTGGCTGCAGCCAAGTCTCAGTGCAGTGCAATTTTTTTCAGCCTTTCCAGGAGAAAGGAAGTCGCACTTGACAACTGACATCTTCCTAAAATGACTAAGACACCTGCTCCAAGCGCCTGAAAACTTCATCGTACAACCGCCAGAAGTTTCTCGGCAATGCAGGTGTCACCTTGACACCTGCACAATCTAGTGACATCCAACGCAAGGTCAATATCAACAATTCTACTATGACAAAATCAGGCTCAATTTTGATTGACACCACTGAGCCTAATCGCAACTCTGCTGATTTATTAAATCGAGGGGGTGGCCATTTTGCCACTTTCTCTCAACTGAAAATGACATCACACTTGCTCCGGGCTTAGGTAACAAGCAATCACGGCTCACCTGTTTTCCGAAGCTGAGCCATGATTGGTTGTTACCTGAGCCCCGAGCAACCGCCATGTCATTTTTAGCCCACAGCAAGTGGCAAAATGGCTGCGCACTGAGATAAGGGGGAAAAAAATGGGTTGATTTTACTGCTGAACTCGTATTCGACACACGCAATATTTTATCAGAAAGCCGTGTTGAGATTAGTAGGGATGCATATTACCTATTAACTTATTAGTAAAGAAAATTTGTGGATTGACTTCCCCTTTAACCACCCCCATTCAAATTCATGTTAAATGGGTGTCAGTAAGAACCTGCCAAAACAATTTCAGCTATTCCAGTGTGCCTTCCCTCACATTATTATTATCTTTTTTTTTTTAACCCAAGCCTGAAGATTTTTTGGTAATACTGACTGGTCTTTGGAACCGCTCTGACACCCCCCCCCCCCTCATCCTGACAAGCTGAAGAAAAGCAGCCCCAAAGCATGATGTTGCCAACGTAAAGCTTGACTGTAGCTCACGTTTTCTCTTGGTGATGAACGGCGTCATATTTACACCAAACGTGTCTTTTGGAGTTACGGCCAAAACGTTCAACCTGGGTTTTGTCAAATAACGCATTTTAGCACATGCTCTTGGGAGATTTCAAGTGTGTTCATGCATATTTTGAAACCAAGGTTGAACTTTCCATCATGCCACAGTTCCAGTTCATAAGCGCGGGTCGCGGTTAAAACAACTTTGGTGCAGACATTTGACATTGACGCTTTGATATTACGACAGAAAAATATATTTTTTAAATATATTCCTCACTGAATGCTAATCCTTGGACTCTTTAGGAATGGAAAAAAAACAACGGTTTGAAGACATTTTTCTGAGGGTTGGTGACATGCCCACTCTTCTGGGCAACATACTGTACGTTTGAATTTTTAACGGATGAAATGGTTTCTAAAGAAAAAAAATGAAAGAGAAAATTAATCTAGCAAGTGAACATAATGATGTTGAACCCATTCGCCCTGTTCTATGGTCTTAAATCGTGATGTCACAGTTGCTCTTCAATCACGGACGCCGTCATCCTGTCATACTTTGCTACATCGGTCAGCCAGTGTACATGCAAAAAAAATGGTCCCAATTTAAATGTAAATAGAGGTCAGTGCTTCCGATAATGTCTTGGCCAGCTGTATTGGATGTCCTTGTGTAAAGATGGACGACATGTGTATTAGCCCCCCGCCCAAAAAAAATAATATTGCAAAAGTGACAAGATATCTCTGAACACAAATTTCTGAAATGTATTACACAGCAGAGATGGTGTGCAATTTAAAGTTGCAGAGATGTGAACCTACTTATTCTTGAACCAACTTTAGGCTCGATTTTTTTTCTTCGATCTCCAGCCATTCCAATTGGCCTGTGTCTTATCCAACGTTGTAATACTAGAGATGCACCACAAGGTAGTGCTGTTTTACATAAAATGCGCCCATACTGAGCCACTCACTTTGGGACTGTCTTCAGATCTGCTCCGCCTCTGCTGCTCGTGTTTACCGTACAAATCGTGAAATTGAATGGGACCAACCTGGCCATTGAAAAAGGCAAAAAAGAAACCGCAAATGAGCCGAGTTATGACTTGTCTTTCAAAGAGCCGTTCAACAAGAAGGTTGAATGTCTTTTATCATACGTACTCTACTGTATACTGTAAATCACTCTTCATAAAATAGGACTCTCACACTCAACTGTAATCCCAACAAATGAGGATTCAAATCAGATTAAGATGAATTACGCCCTCAGCATTTACCTCTCCAAAAATCACTGAACCACCACCTCAGGCTGAGTGTGCAACGGGGCAATTAAAAAAAAAAAAAAATCCTGAGTAGACAATGTTCTCGCATTGCTGCCACAGCGGAGTGCCGAAAAGTGTGACTCCTCAAGATGAATATCCATGCTTTGTACAGACGTCCTTCGACAGCTTGGAGCCCAATTAGACCCGGCCAATTAGTGCACTGAGAACAACAGCCAATCAGGACTAATCGCATGTTGTCAGGAAAGTTTTACTCTGATGGAAGAACATTTTAATCAATAGCAAACGCTCTTTACCGGTGATGACTGCTCTGCTTAAAAATGTTCATTTTGTCAGTGAGCTGAAACTGGGCTTGCATTCATGGATTCAGCTTCCTATTTATAAGAGGACGTGAGCTTGATGTCTTTGTGCAACCATCCATCTTTTTGTGCTCTGCTTATCGCGTCGCAAGGGGCGGCATCTGCAGCAAGGATGCCCAGACTTCCATCTCCCGAGCCACTTCTTCCAACTCTTCCGGGGGGCGCATTCCCAAGACAGCCTGGAGACATGTCCCGGGTTGTCCCTAAGGCCTCGCATGGTGCAACGCGTCACCAGTGAGCCGTCCCGAAGATCCGAATCAAGATGCCCGAGCCACCTCATCTGGCTCCTCTTGATGCGGGGGAGCAGCGGCTCTATTCTGAGCCCCTCCCGGGTGACCGAGCTTCACGCCCTATCTCTAAAGGAGACTCGGGACACTCTGTGGAGGAAACTCATTTCGTCCGCTTGTATCTATCTGGGATCTTGTTCTCTTCTGACTGTAGGGTAGAGTCGATTGGTAAATTGAGGGTTTCGCCCTTCAGCTCAGCTCCTTTTTTTCTCAGATTTTTTTTTTTTGTCACGTTCACCCAGCTTGTTGTGGAAAAGCTACTTTTGACATTCCAGTGTTTTTGAAGGATTTTCTGGGTTTGAAAAAAAAAAAATTCCACCCACAGTTTTTTTTCCTTTCATTTTTTTAGGTTATTATCGCGGGCCCCAAGCAGCGCCAGTTGCCCATCACCGCTCAAGGTGGAAACATGAATACTCTGGTATTTTCTGATCGCTTAATAACAACAAAGTTAAAACACACATCAATTGCCGTGTGCGCCAAGCTAGCACTACGGAATTCTGCCGGCGATGGATTAGCATTTGAGCACGTAAGTCACATTACAGGCTTGTTTGATTTAGGCTTTGATGAGCCGGATTTGATTATGCAGGCAGAACAACAAAACACTTATCGCAGTGTGCTACTGCATCCGAAGGACTCCCCGATGTCTCATGTTTCACCATCAACCTGGCGGGATTAAATGAGGTTTAAGGAGGAAAGAGCGGCTTGATGCTTGAGTGACAGAGGAGCTCGCACTTTTTCATGCAAGTGGGAAATTACTTCAGGACTCTTGAAGATGGGAAGAAACGTCGCCCAATATAACAGCACGCAAGTGTGCCATGCACCTGTCATGGTTTTGTCTGTTTTGTTTTGGGAGAAAGTGAGGTCGGAGGGCGTGTCCTCCAGCTGCGCACCTGATTATCATCATCCTCGTCATCACCTGCTTTTAAAAGACAGCCACGCTGTTGTTGGATTATTCCTGCCATGCTCATGAGTCTCTTACCAAGTGTCTGAATTCTCTCGTCGTTCTTGATCTTGCTTCATAGTCCTTTTGCCCCGTCCTATTTTTATTTTTTTGTCTTCGTAAGTATTTTTACATTATAGCTGTTCTCTGTTTCATTCGGTATTGCATTGGGTTTCACTCTGGTTTAAGAAACAGTCTCATTGCTAATATAGTTTAAGTTACGTTGGCCAGCACTGCGGATTCTGATTGCTCTGGGCAGAACACGGTACATGTACTTTAAGCAGTGCGGCAGAGAAAAGGTTAGAAAAACAAATGAAGAGAATTGACTCTCGGGAATAAATTAATTTCAATTTTGTGGCACACATATTTTGAATTTGGGTTGTCGATGTAGGCCAGTGCTTCTGTTGGGGCCCTTGCGGCTCACCAGTGCCGACAGCAAATCATGGAAATTCAATCCAGACTTTAGCCATCGCCAGTCTTTTATTAACTGCACAGACATTTTTTTAAGTCACATTTCAACATTAGCAGTTTTGTTGAAATGTGAAAATAAGCAAATCGTCCAGGGGATACAGTAGTCTGCCTACAGTAGGCAACAGCTCCTGGAAAAAAAAAAGAAGACTGGATTGAAATCTTTTACTTCTGTTGTGAAAGCTAAAAACAAAAACTCTGTATTTGTTTTTAGCTTTCATGACAGTGGTGTTTGGTTTAGTTTCATTATGGCTTGTATTGTTGTCGTTGATGTCTTTTCCATTTCGGCAAGTCTTCCCCTTGTGTCTTCCAATCAGCTCCCTCAGCCGCTTGTGTCTCGTCCCGATGTTCTCGTTGTCTCGTCAGTTTGTTTGTCTTTAATTCTTTGTTTACGTTCAGTCCCCATTGGCTCATTTACTTTGGTTTGCATCAGTTGTCACGTCCGTGCGAGGCCTATTGAGTTTTGTGTGGTTGCTTGTTTAAACTGTTACTTTGACGATGCCTTTTGAGCTTTTATTTTATTTTTTGAGCATCCCATTGTGCCTCATTTTTCTTTTATATTCCTGAAATGAAGTATTTTTAAAGAGCGCCGCTGCTTTGCTTCCCTGCAATTGGGTCCTCGACCCTGCCCTCTCATGAAAACTGCTCTCATGTTCAGAGTGATCACATGGACCATATTTGGAAGTTGCTGCTTATTCGGATGAAAACACATCATTTTACACCGTCAATCAAAATGCATTATTCCCCAAGTGCGAAATAATCCAACCGATCTCGAAGTGTCCGATCTGTGACAGTCAAAGACAAATGTAGCATGGAGATAAAAATAGTGTCCTGCGAGAAATCATTTCGGATGGAAACGTGTGGTGTTTCGGTGATGTGCCAGCGATCAAAATGAGTTTATCCTCCTAAATATGGCGGAACGTTGACTACATTAACTACTGATCTACGTTAAGACAAAAGCCCGCAAGAACAAACGCGTGAGAAGAACAGATGCAAAGAATGAAGAGGCCTCATGGATGTCGATTGTGTTTAGCTTGGCTCTCCTTTTTTTTTTTTTTCTCCCCATTTGCCTTGTTGAAGTGATCCCTCCCCGTTGCGCGCTCCAGCAAGCCTGTGAGGCAAGCTGAGCTGAAGGTGTGGAGGTCAGCTGTCTGGAAAGAGCTGAATCGGAAATTCTCCTCCATTGTAATTTCCCCACTCGAATCTGTTTGATGTGCTGAATGAAACATCAATGTCCCTGTCTCTTGTGGCGCTAAATCTGGCAACCAATGGCTGGCTTTTAATCCACTATTCATTTCATGGCGGGAAAAGAAAATAGTCCGTCATGTGTGTATATATATTTCGGAATATTTTCGTGTGAGTGCTCCAGGTAAGCCCTGAAGGGATGTTTTACTAAATCTACTTGATGGCATCGGAACGGCCGCGGAGCACATGACAAACAGCTTGGTAGCGCAAGTGCAGCCCTTTACTCAAGATCCCATCATCTTCTGCCCGTCCTCCTGTGTGACGGACGGACCATAACAAGAAAGAGCTACTGGGGTCCAAAATATACATTAATATCCAAAGAGGCAGCAGCGTGAGAAAAAAAAAAAAATTGGGATACTCCCACACAGCTCTATGAAATGTACCGCAGAGGCACCCAGGATTAAATATTGAGCCCAAACTGAATAAACGCCCTGCTAACTCGCAGGGCTTCTACCAAAAAGAGACTGTGTTTAACAGCGTCCACATGTCCGAGAGACGCGCCACTCTTAATCACAAACCTGAGGATGCAAGTGCATCGAATCGAACAAAATCAAATTGTTCCATTTTAAAATTAAATCAGAACATGTATAGGATTGTCTTTAACCGGAGAGATGTATATCATTGAAGGAATGGCCTGTCTGTTACTCAAAATCACTCATTACACACAATAACCCTTCTTCAGTATTTCTATTTTAAGATGCCATCTCAGTAATTGATGTCATTTTGTTTTGTGTTGGATTAAATGCATACAAGTGTGACCGATGTGATAGGTTTGCGAAAGCAGATTTAATCGGATTTACGGAAAATCATACTTTCACTGACTTCATTTTATTACACTGGAGACATTTGTTCTTTGGGATGGCATTGATTGATTTAACCAGTCATGCATTCTCTGCTTAAATGGGACATATTTTTTTCTCAGTTGAATATTTTTTATTTTATCTTTGTATTTGTGAAGCTGTTTAGCATGCGGGGTACACAGTTGGTCCTTTTCCACCGCGCGAATGCTAGTGCTAGTGCTAGTTCCGGGCCAGTGCTCAAGTTAGCAACAGTTCTTTCTTTTTCCACCACCGAAATCGGCTCTAGCGCAACCTCTTGTGCTTGAAACTGGTACTTAAAATGCCCCCAATTATTATTATTATTATTATTATTTTTTTAAATGATTCTTTATTCGAACAAGTCATGGTACAATTCTCAATAAACAGAAAACAAAATGAACATGTTATTAATACATACACATAGCCCCCAATTATTTGTTCGGCCAGATTGTGGCACCAATTACGTCAGGCGACGGTGGGCGGGGTTATCATGACGATCGCAGACACACGGAAGTTTTGCACGAACTGTTGAGAGGTGAACTCCGCCATAATTGTGTCCCGCCAGAAGAGCGATGGCGGATGTGTCCCGCTTGTATGCCATCTCCAGCTTCGCAGCCAGCCTGGTGATCATCTACAATGATGAAGTAAGATAGAAGCGTTTACTGATTATATGCCCCTGACTGTTATACAGTATATACATTATTATTATTATTATTATTAATAGTGCAGGCACGTACGACACGACGTAGGCAGTGACGTTTGTAGGCTTGACGATGACACAATGAGGTGGCTGCTACTTGGCGCTTGTCCGGTGGAAAACCAAACACGCTCTTCATAAGAACTTAAGTTTTAAAAATTTTTTGGGGTAAGAAAAGGGGTCATTTATGCTGGGAGAGTTTTGCTACTGTACTGTTTACTACCTGAGTTTTCGAGTCATTGAATACTCACAGCACACTTAGGCAAGTGGTTCATTGATATACATACAGCATTGTGTCAATTGAATTTCCTCATGAAGCTACAATAACATTTAGGGCATGAGTTATTGAGATTATTCATGCTAAATTGCCTAGTTACACATTTTTAACATGCTGTTGGCAACAAGTGTAGAAGTCGTGGGGAGATCGCCTTAGTTAAAAGAGGATTTTGCGCTTTCAAAGATTTTCAGCATGGAAAATGTCCATATCAGCCCTGAGACTCGTCCAGAAGTTCCAAAATTGCATTACCGGATAAATGATATGTGACGATAATTTTTGCTGACATTTCAAAAATGTTTACCCGAGCACAATCTCCGTGCCACCTGTCATTTTGTTTGTTTGAGCCTCGTACCGCTTTGTCTGCTCGTTTGCAACTGCCTTCCAGACACGCTATTTACAGATGCAATATCAGCCAACGCAATTCGTCTTAGGGTTGATAAATCACATTGTGCCTGCTAAATTAATCAGTTTGCGTAACCTCCTTACACAGCGCACAAAATGAACTGTGCAGCAATTTACCGTATTTGGCATTTCCAATCGTGGTTGTATATTCGCACATTTTTAATTCGATGCCTGCAACATGTTCCAAAAAGCTGTGACAATCGGCAATTACAGCGAACATACTTCCCGCACCTTTGAGGTGACAGACAGCAGGTCCCGGCACTTGTCTCGCATGTCTCCATCGCCGCTCCACGCGAGTGGCCGCTTCTCGCCAATTTACTGAAGATAATTAATCGAGTGGGGATGAACTGCAGAGTCGAACGGATCACAAGTGAACATGCGGGAACTGCAAGTTTCTGCCTTACTTGTTTTTTTCCACAGTGACAGCCAGTTCTCCGCTCACCGAGCGGAGAAGACTCTTACACCGCATTTAATGATCGCCGTCATGATACAAAATCACCTTGATTCAAAGCGTCACACTTATTGTGATGTATTAGCTCCAATCACTACAGCTAACAAAAGCGATCTCACTGCATTCGCTCTTTTGCACATAGGCAGCCAAATAGAACAAACTGGAGCTGAGAGCGTATTTGTTTGGCCTCCTCAATGAGTTTCTGTGCCAACTGCTCTTCAGAGCGAAAAGAAATCTATTGTGAGACTCAAGTTGATGCATTGTGGACTTGATGATAACGAATAGCTCTCTTACCAATTCTGCTGGACATTTAATGACGTCGAAAGGCCTGGCTCAGGAATCAGTTGTTTCTCGTTGCGGTAAAGACATGCAATTGACTCATTTTCAACTTTGACCTGCATAGATCAAAGGAAGTTCCTTGGTACGGTGACACGCACCCTCACCTGCTCGAGCAGTCCACACGGCTTGTGTTCTCGGTGGTGAGTATCGGCGCGGAAGGGCGAGCCGTTCCTAAATAATGGCTTGTGGCCTTCCATTTGGCAGTGATGAATGGTGCTGTACGCGCACCGTGTGGTTTTGGGATCATCACAATGGAGTTGCAGCCTAAACTCGGCTGATATTTATTCGACCGTGGGCTGAGCTAGTTAACTATCTGTGGCTTTTTCCCAAACAACCCCACAAGACTCTTGATGATGGATCGGCCAGAATGAAGAGAAAAGCCGCCATGCTTGTAGGAAAGAATTGGGAATTGCTCGAAATTAGAACTTGTATCCAATTATTTATACCCTGGATATATTCTTTGGTTCACAGTTTTTTTGTTTTTTTTTGGGGGGTGGTTGGGGGGGGGTATACAGTATAGCTAGAGATGACGCAAAACAATGGCAAAAGACTTTTTGAGGTGATATTAAATAAATCATAATTTTTAGATTTTGGTGAAAAAAATCCATGCCCATGTTCATAATCCAACCATATTTCATGTTCTAAATTCAAAATATATTAGAATGCTTCAAATTGTATTGGCCGTTACCAGGATTGCTCCTAACCGAAGAGGGAATGTGAAGAGTTTTTCTTCTTCAGATCACTGCTTTGGCATTATTCCTGATATTTGAAGTGGACGAAACCGAGTTTTGATGTGAGTTTTATTTTTTCACGTGCCAGCTTGCTGATTCTATATATGTGCGTTTCTTTGGATGATGAGCGATGCTTAATCGTGCAAATTATTGAACAATCATCATGTACGACTTTTCACATTTTGATTATAAAGGCGAATTGATGGTGGCATATAATCCAAAGCTTCAAATTGTTTCTAATCCCCCCCACCCCCAGTTAGCAGATTTATGACATCTTTTATCCCATTTGCATGGTATAATCGGCTCCAAAATAAGACGCCTGATTGAACCGCCGTGGATCGAATGCATGATATTGGAACGCGACGCTACACTGCATCTCACGCCACTTTTCAATTTTGCTACGCGGCGCGCAAGGTCGCATTTGAGCGAATTCATTTGGAGATATTTTTAATTTGCGCCCCGAGACGTTTGGTTTCCCTCGGAGTGCGCCGGCCTCCGCACGCAGGACGAAGGCGTTGTCGCCGGCTGCAGCCATGGCTGTGTTGCTGAATACGAATGGCTTTGCTGGTGACAAATCCGTCAATTATGCAACAGTGGGAGAATTAACATTTACTCGGGATGAACTATTGACTTTAAGGAAACGATTTACAAATATGGTTTTGAAATACGCTCATGGTAATGTCGCGGAGTGCGCCGGCCTCCGCGCACACGACGAAGGTGTTGTCGCCGGGTGCAGCTATGGCTGTGTTGCTGAATACGAATGGCTTTGCTGGTGACAAATCCGTCAATTACGCAACAGCGGGAGAATTAACATTTCCTCAAGATGAACTATTGACTTTAAGGAAACGATTCACAAATATGGTTTTGAAATACGCTCATGGTAATGTCCTGCCCTTTTAATGACCTTCCAATATCATCGCGGCCAATTCGCATGGAGCCAAACCTAATATGCTGCATCATTACCCTCATTATTGATTTTTGATGTTGCCCTTGAATTGATTTGTCGAAATGGGCGGACTGTAATTGTCTTTTTTTTTGTTTGTTTGTTTTTTTTTTTGGTGTTCCTGTCTGCTATCTCTTGATGCACGATTGTCACGGCGAACCCAACGCTCGCTACGGCCCGAAGGTAATTTATTAAACGGGACGAACGTGAGATGAAGTTGTCGTCGGGGGATGCAAAGGGATGCATAAATGTTTCCTTATCGGCGGCACGAGCGATGACAAGGAGATGACGGAGCCTGCGATTTCCATTCACGTGCGCGCGTGACGCGAAAACCCAAAGGTTGATGGCCATGAAAGCGAGACGCCCCGTCAGTGTGTAAATGGAACGAGAGGAACGATGCTGATCGTGCGATATGGATGATGAATACTTTCTCCTCTATTGTCTCCCAGAGCGGGAAGACAACCGGGCCGCAAGCCGGTCAGCGCTGTTCAGGGCCATTTAAGACCTTTCCCGCTCTGGCTTGAGGTCCATGTCCAGCTGTCCGATGCGATGATCGAGTCGAGTGTCCCGAAATAAACACGGGCCGACTTGGGTGCTCAGGACCCCGAGGTTCTGTCTGACGTGTTTTGTAAGTAGCCCAAGGCCTTTGATTGATGATTCTTATTTTCTTGTCAAGCCACGACTACTTTGATGTTTATCTTGAGATCTCCTTGATGGGCTTTCATTATCCGGGACAGAACTGGACATGCGGCAGGTGAGAGGCATCGAGTAAAGAGGCAAAAGAACATCAGCGGAGGTGGAATAGGAGCGGATTGATACGCACGCTGGGCTTGTCATCAAATCAAATTGTTCTCTAAAAATGATCAGCTTTGATCGTTGCGTTTGGTTTTGCGAGTGGCACTTTTTCTATGTCGATGATTAACCGAGAAACTCACCCGCGATCTCCTTCCCCACTCTCGTCTATTGTGATTGACTCGCACTCGCAACATGAGTACGTCTCTTGGTCCACATTTTGGCGTGATTTACGACAAGAGGAACTCTCATGTGGGCACTTTGTAACACAGCGCCGTGATCTTTACGTGAAGACATCCCGTCGTTAGTTCCAACAAAATCAGAGCGATCGTTGCGTTCGGTTTTGCGAGTGGCACTTTTTCTATGTTGATGATTAACCGAGAAACTCACCCGCGTTCCTTCCCCACTCTCGTCTATTGTGATTGACTCGCACTCGCAACATGAGTACGTCTCTTGGTCCACATTTTGGCGTGATTTACGACAAGAGGAACTCTCATGTGGGCACTTTGTAACACAGCGCCGTGATCTTTACGTGAAGACATCCCGTCGTTAGTTCCAGCAAAATCAAAGATCAGCATCAAGAGATCTCGATCATCTTCACAGCGAGATTAGGCAACATGAACTGATTTTCATCCGAGCGTTGCGTGAGCGGCTGAAAAGCGTCGTACATTGTCCAATGACCAAGGCTTCATAGGCTCGAATCAAAAGTGAGTCAGCCGACTGTGAATCAGGCTCAAAGCAAGTTTAATTTGCAGTGTTTTCCCAGCTGTGCCAGAAACATGACTTGTACATTTCAAATGTCTGATACTCCGAAGTGCCTTATAGTGCGGAAAATACGGTAATCAAAATCAGCCATCAGATCTATCAGGGGTTGGGAACGACCAGCTCATCAAATAGGTTTGTCCAAGTCTGAAACAATCATCAATAGAATCAGGCGTGTGGGCAGTGAATCCCAAATGTTTTTTTGATGGTGTTGAGGTTAGAGCTCGAACCTTGGTTTGTGTACTGGGGG